CCCCCCTCGTGACCCTCCTCCGCATCTCCTACCCCAAACCTCCGGCAGGATCGGCCAAACCGCAGGCCTGGAGTGGCTGCCCCGCTTCTTGCCGCCTTGGCTGCGGGACAGGGCGCTGGCCCGGGAGCTGGGCATCACCGCACTGCTGCCAGAGATGCGGCTCAACGCGGCGGTCCTCGCGGCGCAGCACAGGCAGCGGCAGGAGGAGCGGCAGCGGCAGGCGGGCGCGGCAGGGGAGGGGAAGAAAGGTCGGTGATGGCTGATGGGGGCGTGGAGCAGTGTTGCTTTGCTTTCAGATGTGGAGCGGTCTGATGGTGTTGAGCTGTCTGTCACTGTATGGTAGTTGCCAGCTGAACGTGTACATGTGTTGCGTTTGCGCATGCCAATGGGGGCCCCATCGTGTTTGACACCTCTAATCGTTCTGATTGTGCACATATTCGGTTGGCATTAAAAGGCGTTGAGCAAACAAGAACAGAACGAATATTGCAATACTCTCGTGTCGGTGCCTGACAGCCTTGCGAGTCCTGACATTGCTGCTGAATCCTGAGCGGTTACGATCCTGGGTTGGCTCGGCAGGTTGGCCGGCAAGTAAGTGCATTCATTCCCACTCTTCAAAAGCAAGTCATACATTTGGCTGAATCGCTGCGCATGCGCCATCACTTGAAGATGGCCACCTCTCGTCGCCCCGTGTGGTCCGCCGCTGCGCGCGCCATGCCGCCAGAGTTGAACTCCATTGAGATGCTGCAGCAAACAGAAAAGTGGTGAGGAGCGTCTCAGGTTTGAGGGGTGACGTGCGTGCAGGCTGACTGTAGAGACTATGATGCGCAGCAGTCCAGCCATCGCAATCGGGCAGCAAGGAAAGCGAGACTGATGGCAACGCGTCAACAGCAGGCAAGCAACACTCCCAACTTTCCTCTGCTCGGCCCCAACCCCCAACAACGCCCCCGGCCCTGGCGTCGTCCTCCCCTCTCACTTGTAGTCCCTGTCGACCCCAACAAACCCGCCGTCCCCCGGCGCAAAGTTGTCAAACACGACGGCGCGCACAGCCTCTTGCAGGGTCGCTCCGCCGTACGCCACGCGCGCGGCGACGTCGTGGCACGCCGCGCGGCGCAGGAACTCCTCGCCCACGCCAGTGCCGCTGAGGGCGACGCGCTCATCGGCCCAGTTGCCTGTCGAACCCGGAGGCATGATTGTATATGTGTGTGTGCGTGGTCGTGTGTGGTGAGGTTGCGGGTGTTGCTGCTTGTTGGCTCATGGATTGGAGTGGGGCATGCGGCGTGGCAAGGCGAAGCTGCAGCATTGTGCGCTGAGACGTGACGTAGCAGCCACATTGCCCCACACAAGCATACTGTGACAGCCTTCTATGCTGGTAGTTGCCGCTGGCGTCCCGCCAACATGCAGCGTTGCCGCGGGACTCGCCCTGGGGAGCTGCTGCTCTGCGCCCCACCTGCACCAATGATAGGTGTGTCCCCAACGCGGCCGTCATACTTCCCACACCGGCCGCCCGTGCTCGTCGCCGCCGCCAGCCTGCCGTGAGCATCCACCGCCACCGCCCCCACAGTCTGGGCGTGGGGCGCCTCAGGCAGCTGGTGCCAGCGCCCCTGCCGCCTGCCGGGCCGGCCGGGGCTGCGGTGCCGGTGGTTGCTGGCGCAGAGCTGCCCTGGATGATGTCATCGTGCCTGTTAAAATAGGGGCATCCAAACCGTAGGGAGCAGGAATCGTTGTGTTGAGTCACATATGGCGGGTCTGTGAATTAGAGCGGTCAGGCTGCCGTGCATCCCACCAGCCGTGCCGCATTCCCCCCCCCCCCCGCGCCCCAACAACCTGCCGCCCTCACTTTGCCACGGCGCCGCTGGCCTTGTGCGCCTCCCACTGCTGCCGCCGCTGTTCAGTGGTGAACCACTCGTTGCTCGGCACCACCTCAAGGCCCTGGGCCGCAGCAAACTCCTCGGCGGGGGGGCCGGCCAGGAAAATGTGGGGCGTGCGCTCCATCACGCGCCGCGCCAGCAGGATGGGGTTGCGCACTGGGAGCCAGGGGATGCGGGGCAGCGGGTTAGGTGGCTTGATGACATGTGCGAGGGTATAAGCCGGCTCCTGGGTGATTCCCAGCAGAGGGAGGGCTGCCTGTGCACATGGTGCTTGGACAGGCTTTTCAGAGGCAGATTTTGTGGTCGCTGCCAGCCGTGATCGGGAGCCGCACAGCGGTTTAGGTGCTGGTGGCTCGGTGGCGCAGTGCCTGCTGCAGCACGCCCCCCCCCTCAAGACCCACCTCGCGTAAGCAGCGCCGCCGCGCCGCAGCGCTTGTCCTGAGTCATCACTGATGCTTCAAGCTCGTGGCGGCCGCTCGCCGTCAGCACGCTGCCGCGGCCTGGGGCAGGCGAGAAGGGCACCGGGGCTACCGCTGAGGACATGTGACAGCGATGGAAAGACACGACTGGACATGGCGCGAGGTGCGCTGGGCCGCTCGCTGGCTGTAAACAACAGGCCTGAAAAACCTCTGGGAGTAATGGCAGTTGCTCCGCATGCGATCACTGGTCAAGCAGGCCCCGTGCACAGCATGCATGAGCTGCCGTCCTGCCGCAGCTGCCCAACACCTGCATTGAAGCGGGGGTTTTCCTCCAGAGCCACGACGCACGCCACTGCTGCGTCCAGCGCGCTGCCGCCCGCCTCCAGGATCTGATCAGGGGGAATTCTATTAGGACAACAGGGGCGCGGATCCGCAGGCGCATTGCATTTGCGAGCGCCTCAAGCGTGTGCATGTTGGCATGTCGCTGCTGGGCTGGCGGCGGCAGTCCCGCCATCGCTTTCCCTGGCGCACCTGCACGCCGATTTGGAGAGCCGCCTCCATGCCTGCCGTGGTGGCCTCCAGCCATTCCTTGTTATCGGTGTTGATGACGCCCGCACCACCTGCATGGCGGCCAAACGCCTGTTGATCATGCGCCGAGCGACCACTGCATGGGCCTCGCCTGCGTCGCCGTCGCACCATGTATTGCAAGCGCAAAGCGTGGCATTGTTGAAGCCACTTCAGCAGAACGCGCAGACGCCTTGACCCTCGGAAGACCGTGCCGAGCTTTGAAAGCGGGAAGCAAGATCTGACGAGATCGCGTATTGCACGCGCTACAAGGGGCCAAAAGCACCATAGATGCAGCCCGGAAGCTCACAAAACTTTGAGTCTGCTTTAGCAATATTGACGCAGGCGGTCATCAACTGTGCAGACGCGCCACCGTCACTAAGTGTCGCCTAACAACTGCTCCTTGATACTGTTCCCGTTGCAAACCCATCGCCAGATATGGGCATCGCAGAGGCCAGTTGGAGTATCATCTGCCATGCAGTCTGCCCTGTGAGGCGCGCATGGGACGGGGATGGGCGGCAGGTCGTGTTGCACACCTGCAGTATGCTGGGTGTGCCGTGCTCACGGGCGGCACAGGACGTGGGGGCCCTGCGATGGCACTCCGGAACTCAACCGCAGCACAATGTAGTATCAACATGGTCCAGTCAAAATAGGGCACATTCTAGTAGAGTGAAGCGCGCGCCCCCTCGCGATTGGATCCCTTGACCAGGCCGTCAGCAACTGCTGGGTGGGTACGCACAGGTACGGGCGTACCGGCTGTAATGGCATGTCATGATCTGAGCAGATTTAATGAAATTCAGAAGACTGCAACAGCTGCACAGGGTAAGATTTGCTCCATGCAGGGGTGCAGGACACTCTGCAGCCGTGAAACGCGCTGCTGCGCCGCCTCGTGTCGCCAGTCTTGACATGAAATGTATCAAGGTTCTTGTATGACTAGCCACCACAAAATTCACAGTCCATCACACTGCAAGCACTTTGCAGTGGGCGCGGGCGGCGGGCCGCGGGTGTCTCTTGTCACCCGCTCCCGCTCACTCTTCACATCTCCATTGCTACCCGACTCGAAGACATTTTTAGAAGGGTATTATTGTCATCGTGGGCTAGGGCGCGTGTATAGGCTCGTGATCACGATCTCCGCAATCAAAGAGCAAATGCGATCCAGCAGCAGTCACGTTAGTAGTGCTGGATGGTCTCAATATACGTCCGTGTTGAAGCTGTGTCAGTGCCGGTCAAGGCCGTGCCGCACCAATGCCACACCAGCCGCAGCGCACGATGAGCGGGAGCAGTCCTCGCGAAACCAGCGGTGCCCTGAGGCACCGCCTCAGCAGCAGCTTATGCTGACGTCGCCAGATGTGCCGCAATATGTAGCGCAGCACGAGGCGCTGCAGCGGTGGCTGGGGGGCTCCTTCGACGATTGGGAGGTGCTCGAGATGCGGGGGGGCGTCATCAATGCCTGCTGGCAGGTCAACAGGCTGAAACGTGGCGGCGGCGGCGGGGACGCCGGCGCCGGCCGCTCGCTGATCGTGAAGCAGGCGCTACCGTACGTCCGGGCAGTGGGGCCATCCTTTCCGCTTTCCACGGTGAGGGGCGCGCAGGCCGAGTACTCACCTGCGCGATGCCTCCGCTCGCCGGCCCTGGCCTTGCAGGCGGCGACACGTCGCAGCGGCATGTGCATCCAAGGCGCATCAGCAGGGCCTGCGCGACCCGCACGCCCGCCGCGCCCACGCACACGTAGGAGCGCATGCGCGTGGAGGCCGAGGCCATGGCCTGGATGGGGCGCGTCTGCCCCTCGGCGGTGCCCCAGCTGCTGCTGTACGACCCGATCCACCACGTCCTGGCGATGCCGCTGGTGGCGCCGCCGCACCGACCGCTGGTGGAGGCCGTGCGGGACGGCGAGGTGGGGTTGGCGCCAGCGGGCGCTCCCGCGGTCGCCCCTCCTCCGCGCAGCCAGCTGCCATGCGGCACTGCGACTTTGCTCAAGGAGTACTCTATCATCTGTCGCGCTCTGGATCGTGGCAAAGCGTGGTGCATTCCCTCCTCGTCATGCACACGCGCACCACAAACACACACACGCGCGGGGCCAGGTGTTCCCGGACCTGGCGCCGCAGCTGGCAGCGCTGCTTTCCTCCATGTTCAGCGCGTCGTCTGCGGATGTGATGGGGGCCGAGGCCCACGCGGCCGCGGTCGCAGGCTACGCCAACTCAGACATTGTGGCGGCTAATGAGCAGGTGCACATGCTTGGTATGGCAATCTGGATGGGCTCAGAGGCGTTGAAGTCTGACTCAGCTCTGTCGCACTGTCGCAGCTGGATAGATTCCCATGCCACATTTCATGGCTGTTTGTTGCTGTCTGCGGTCGCAGCAGCGCAGCGTTTGGCGCCGCGCTCATGCAGTATGTCGCTCAAACCACTAGAAATCCCCTGACATTCCCCCTTGCATCACACTCGTCTTGCCTTCCCCCCCCCCCCCCTTCAGGTCGTGCTTATCGGCCCATTTGAGCCCAGCGATCCCTCCAACTCCTGGCTGCCAGAGCTTGACAATGCAGTGGCCGCGCTGTGGTGGGCTGGCGCCCCGCTGGGTTGACGGGCGGTGGGGCAGGCTTGGAGCACAGCGTATCAGATGCGTCAGGACTCCTATACCGCAGCAAGGAGGTACAAACAGCGGGTTGTCGCCGATCAGTACGTCGTTGCCAGGGACAGGATAGGCTGTCCCTGGCGCGCACCCATGCACATCCACTTGACTTAGCCAGGGCTCCCCTAGCCAGCAACCTTCCTCACTCACCTTTGCGCTCCCAAAGGGCCGACCAGCGGGCAATGGCAGCGGCTGCAGCAGCCCTTGAGTTGTACCGCCGCAGCTCGGAGTGCCTCATACACAATGACCTGCACGCAGGTGAGCAGGAGGAGTGCCAGGCCGCTTGGGCCATGGGGCCGTCCCAAGCAACCGGCTGCCAGACGGTTGCGGCCTCCTTTGTACCAGCTGCAGCAGCCCTAGCATGCCCAGGTCTGCCAATCCAGCCACGGTGGCCAACGGCCGCCCTCTGATGAAATCTCTCCCTTGCGGACCACTCGGCAGTTGTGTATCTACTGACTTGGTCCCTCCTCTTCCTTTACCCTGCTCCCCTGCCCCTGCCCCTGATCCTGCCCCTGACCCTGCTTCCGCCCTTGGCCCTGCCCACTGTCCCCTGCACAGGCAACCTGCTGATTGCGCCAGGCAGCCTGTGGCTGTTGGACTGGGAGTTTGCTACGTTTGGGCCTCCCTCATACGACCTCGGCTCACTGACGGCTTCGCTGCTGCTGGGATGGGTGGCGGCTGGTGCCCTGGAAGGTGGTGGCCCTGCAGGGGATGACCGCGGCGGGAGCAAGGCCGAGCAGCGGGCTTGGCTGCTATCGGCGGTACAGGAGGTGTGGGCACTCACACTGGACGCGTGGTGGGTCTCTTGGCGGCAGCAGCAGCAGCAGCAGCAGCAGCAGCAGCAGCAGCAGCAGCAGCAGCAGCAGCATAAAGCGAGGCGGCATGACGACGTTGTGGGACAAGGAGAGGAAATGCAAGGCAGGGCGGCATGGGAGGCGCAGCTGCTGTCAGACATGCTCATGTTTGCGGGCTGCTGCATCTGCCGCCTTGTGGTGGGGCAGCACAGCTATGCACTCTTTGCTGAACTGGGCGATTTGCAGCGGCGCGTGCTGTGCGAGCGCGTAGCGCTGCGCATTGGGAGGCGGCTCCTCGCAGGCCACGGCAGTTTTGGCAGCATCCGGGCAGTCACTGACATGGTCGTGCGTGAATCAGCTGCTGAACTGCTTTCAACGTGTAACCAAAGTTTGTGAAGGTGCAGCCGGAGTTGCGACAGGTGTCGCCCGCGCGACCCTGCGACTGGTCCCTTGCCTACCTGCAGGTGCAGAGCCGAGGTTAGTGTAGGTCCACCTTCCAACTAAAGGTGCTGAGCAGGCCTTGACCAGGTTTCAGGCTTACTCGCTGTATATCGACGGAGTTGTTCTGTCCGTTTTGTGGACTTATCTTTATCAGCTGGCAAGATGCGGTCCACGCCCATCGTCGTGATCGCGGTCGCGAGCATGCTGGCGGTGGCTTCAAGCGCTGAAGGTGCGTATCAGGCTTATTGGAGCGCGTGTTATTTGAATTGTATGCTGCCATCCAGACAGCGGTGGTATGTGCGTGCACACATGGTGCATCAGTTGACACCTGGGTGGACAGATGTGGTGGCTCCGCTGGCCTTACTTCGAGCTCTCTGACCGCATTAGTGTAATCTACCAATTGCATAGAGCAAGAATGGAAAGTTTGTCACAGGGCGACGGGCTGCGGCAGATGGGCCGGAGATTATCACAGCCAACTCGCAAACAGCGCCTCTATGCACCAACCACTGCAGACGTTTGCCCTGCTGCCTCTCGGCAAACACATCCTGCAACTCTTTCCCCGCGACCACTCCTCCAGGTCGCGAGCTGCTCCAGAGCGACACCTACAAGAAGTGCACTGCTGCATTCAACGCGGCCGGGGGAGAATCTGGCCTGGCAGGGCGCGCCCCTTCCTGTACTGACCGCTCCAACTTCAATCTGAACAAGTGCTGCGCAGAAGTGGGTGAACCATCTGCTGTTCAGAAGCCTCTGAACAGGTTGTTTTGCGTCCACATAGGTGTTGG